TACATTATATTATATTATATTACATTGTTTTAATTCGATATATTATATATATAGAAATGTAATTATAAGACATTTATTTCATTTACTGTTTATAGAATATATGCAGTATACATTGTATATTATTATTGCATTATATAGTATATTATAATAGTATTACGTTATTTTAAACTTTTAATTATCTATATTATATATAGAAATATAATTTTTATAACTCATTATATTTGCTTTTTATAGATTATATAGAGTCTATGCTGTATATTACTATTATAGATTAAAATAAATTCTAGATATAGATACAGCTTATATATTAGATTAGATTATATATTATGTAATTATATTATATTATTTAAAACTTTAATTATATATTATCTATAGAGAAATAGAATTATAAATATAACACTTATAGCTAGAAATATGAATTTCTTATATTTACTGTTTATACACTAGAGAGTATACATACAGTAGATGATTAATATATATTATATATAATATTATACGTTATATATATTACATTACTTGTTACATTCTATTTTAGGTATATTGTACTATGTTATATTATGGTATTTTACATTATATTATTTTATAATATATTACATTATATTATATTATATTACATTATATTATATTATATTACATTATATGATATTATATTATGGTATATTCAGTTATATTATGTTATGTTATATTATGTTACCGTGTGGTGAATTACATTATGTTATATTATATATTATAGATTATATATAATATTATTGCTTACATTCTATTTTTAATTTATTATACGATGTTCTATCGTATTTTTTGTATTCCCACATGACATCACATTATTGCTCACACAGCACTTATCACACCCACACAAATAAACCTTCCCACGGATTTTCCACACCGGAATATTCCCTCCTCTCTCCCAGGTGGCTCCTCCCCCCCGACTCCTCCCATCCCGCCATTCCCAGCGGGAATTCTCACCCACCCGGGAATGCCGCCGGCCTCCATTTTGTTGGCGAGGGTGACGTCGGTGGACCAGACGTCGTACTGCCAGCGCTTCTGGCCCAGCACCCCGCCCAGCACCGTCCCGCTGTGCACCCCCACGCGCATGTCCACCCCCGTCCGCGTCTTCTCACGCACGTACCTGACACGGGGGGGACACGGCGGGGGACACGGGAACGGGGGGGGAATGAGGGGGAGGGGGGAAGGGAACGTGGGTGGGAACACGGGGAACATGGTGGGAATGAGGGGATGGTGGGTGGGAATGAGGGGAAGGGGATGGGAACACGGGGAACATGGGTGGGAACACGGGGAACATGGTGGGAATGAGGGGAAGGGAATGAGGGGAACATGGGTGGGAATGAGGGGAAGGGGATGGGAACACAGAGATATGGTGGGAATGAAGAGAAGGTGAGTGGGAATGAGGGGAAGGGAATGAGGAGAAGGTGGAAGGGAACGAGGGGAGGGTGGAAGGGGACATGGGGAATGTGGTGGGAATGAGGAGAAAGTGGAAGGGAATGAGGGAATATGGGTGGGAACATGGGGAACATGGTGGGAATGAGGGGAAGGGGGAAGGGAACATGGGTGGGAACACGAGGAACACGGTGGGAATGAGGGGAAGGGGGAAGGGAATGAGGGGAAGGGAATGAGGAGAAGGTGGAAGGGAACGAGGGGAAGGGGATGGGAACACAGAGATATGGTGGGAATGAGGGGAAGGTGGGAGGGAATGAAGGGAGGGTGGAAGGGAACAAGGGGAACATGGGTGGGAACATGGAAACATGGTGGGAATGAGGGGATGGTGGGTGGGAATGAGGGGAAGGGAATGAGGAGAAAGTGGAAGGGAACGAGGGGAGGGTGGAAAGGGACATGGGGAATGTGGCGGGAATGAGGAGAAAGTGGAAGGGAATGAGGGAATATGGGTGGGAACATGAGGAGCATGGTGGGAATGAGGGGAAGGGAATGAGCAGAAGGTGGAAGGGAACAAGGGAAAGGTGGAAGGGAACAAGGGGAACATGGGTGGGAACATGGGGAACAGGGTGGGAATGAGGGGAAGGGGGAAGGGAACAAGGAGAAGGTGGAAAGAAATGAGGGGAAGGTGGAAGGGAAGACAGGGAACACAGTGGGAATGAGGAGAAGGTTTAAGGGAAGATGGGGAACACAGCGGGAATGAGGAGCAGCCACAGCTTCCCTGGGAATTCCAGCCCAGCCCCTCCCCACCCTCCCAGCTGGGAATCCCTTCCCAATCTCCCCCCTCCCTCCCTCCCTCCAGCAGATGGAATCTGGAGCTGGGAGCTGCCCTTTCCCACCTCCCTCCACCCAAATCCCACTCCCGCTGCTGCATCTTCCCACTTTTTACCCCCCCGATCCAAACCCCAAACTATTCCCAATCCCATCCCCCTTCCCTGCTGGAATCGCAGCTGGGAGTGACTTTTGGGGTTTTTTTGTTGTTGTTTCCCTCCCAGAGCTTTTTTTTTTCCCCCGAATAAATTCAATTTTCCGGCCGGGAATGTCAACAACCGGTTGGGAATCCTTGGCCATGGATGGATTATCCCAGCTGGGAACGAGCAGCTCCGACCTCCCGACACGATCCCGCTTTTTATCCCGTTCATCATCCCCCCCAATCTGCATCCCGGGACCTCCCGCCGTTGCCGGCATTCCCGAAATTCCCGTTTTTCCTCACGAGATGGCCTCCACCATGGCCAGCCCCATCATGATGGAGCAGACGGCGTGGTCCTCCCGGAATTCCGGCAGCCCGCAGATGCAGTAGTAGCAGTCGCCCAGGATCTTGATCCGCAGCTGGTGGTGTTTCTGGGAAAAGGCGGGAATTCCCGGGATTATCACCTTGGATCCCTCCCCACCCTCAGCCCTCTCCCCTGGAGCCACCTGGAGTCTCCCACACCCAGGGGAGAACGGGAATAATGGGAGTTTCCAGAGTCTCCCACATCCAGGGAAAACCAGGAATAATGGGAGTTTCCAGAGTCTCCCACATCCAGGGAAAAACGGGAATAATGGGAGTTTCCAGAGTCTCCCACATCCAGGAAAAACTGGGAATAATGGGAGTTTCCAGAGTCTGCTCTGGATCCACCTGAACTCTCCCACATCCAGGAAAAAACAGGAATAATGGGAGTTTGTGGATCCACCTGGAGTGTCCCACATCCAGGGAAAAACGGGAATAATGGGAGTTTCCAGAGTCTCCCACATCCAGGGGACATGGGAATAATGGGAGATTCCAGAGTCTCCCACATCCAGGAAAAAATGGGAATAATGGGAGTATTCAGAGTCTCCCACATCCAGGGAAAAACAGGAATAATGGGAGTTTCCAGAGTCTGCTCTGGATCCACCTGAACTCTCCCACATCCAGGAAAAAACAGGAATAATGGGAGTTTGTGGATCCACCTGGAGTCTCCCACATCCAGGAAAAAACGGGAATAATGGGAGTTTCCAGAGTCTCCCACATCCAGGGAAAAACAGGAATAATGGGAGTTTCCAGAGTCTGTTCTGGATCCACCTGGAGTCTCCCACATCGAGGAAAAAACAGGAATAATGGGAGTTTCCAGAGTCTCCCACATCCAGGAAAAAAACCAGGAATAATGGGAGTTTCCAGAGTCTGCTCTGGATCCACCTGAACTCTCCCACATCCAGGGAAAAACAGGAATAATGGGAGTTTCCAGAGTCTCCCACATCCAGGGAAAAACGGGAATAATGGGAGTTTGCAGAGTCTGTTCTGGATCCACCTGAACTCTCCCACATCCAGACAAAAACAGGAATAATGGGAGTTTGTGGATCCACCTGGAGTGTCCCACATCCAGGGAAAAACAGGAATAATGGGAGATTCCAGAGTCTCCCACATCCAGAGGACATGGGAATAATGGGAGTTTCCAGAGTCTCCAACATCCAGGGAAAGCCAGGAATAATGGGAGTTTCCAGAGTCTGCTCTGGATCCACCTGAACTCTCCCACATCCAGGGAAAACCAGGAATAATGGGAGATTCCAGAGTCTCCCATATCCAGGGGACATGGGAATAATGGGAGTTTCCAGAGTCTCCCACATCCAGGGGACATGGGAATAATGGGAGATTCCAGAGTCTCCCACATCCAGGAAAAAATGGGAATAATGGGAGTTTCCAGAGTCTGCTCTGGATCCACCTGAACTCTCCCACATCCAGGGAAAACCAGGAATAATGGGAGATTCCAGAGTCTCCCACAT